CCTTTTATAACTACATTTGGGACCGTTCAGTTTGTCAAAAGACTTCAACTGACCCCAGACCCTAGGCCAATCCTGACCTCAGAAGAGGCAATGATGATCAGTTTCACACAAAGGACTTCATTTTCGGGTTCCTATGGCTGCAAATCATCAAAAATATCAGACCCAAATTCCATACTTAGGAGACCTTCATATTCATAAGACCTGTTCTAACTTACATTCTGCTTCCGGTGACTGGGTCCTTGGCTCATGTTGTTTGTCTTCTCCTTGGGTCAGTCGTGCGTGGGCCTAAGCGTCTGCATTAGTGGCTATTCTGCAGGACTCTGGGTCTTGTTCAGGCCCCCAGACAAATGCCCAGGGCCCTGCTACCCGCTGGGGGATCACCTGGCTGCAGGTGCTTGCTGGCTTGTCTCTCTGGTTCAGCCTGCTCTGCGATGCTCCATCACTCTGCTCTGTCTGACTGTCAAGTCATCCCTTTGCTTGTATTGAACTTTTCAAGATAATTAAGTACCAACCCCACAAATGTGGCAAAAATCATAAAGGTCAGAGCACAGAATGGTAGCGGGTTGCGTGCAGACGGCAGTGCCCTGTAGCATGGCTCTAATGGGAATCTCTGCTTCTGCTTACTTCATACTCCCTGTGTCCAGATGGCAAAGACAGAAGCATAAAATAAATGGAAAACTCCATTAAAGAAACACAGCCCCTGAGGGAAAACATGGCTTTAAAGGAACAGAGAAAAGGCCATGGAGGCCCATCTTGCTGACCCCTCTCCAGTTGTCAGCATCGCACTTGATACAAGGGCTACAAATGAAACATTCCCTTTGCCCAGTGACTTTGGGAATTTGGGGGTACATGATCATCACAAAACCTAACCGTATTACCGAATGAGAGCCAAAACATAGAATGGGGTATAATCCACCAGGGAACCCCAGGAAAGGATCTTGGAAATAATCGAGGCTAAACCGAAAGGCAACAAACGATTGTGCCTCAAGAAGAATGTGCTGGGTCGGCACACGGGAAACCGGCTGAAGATACAAAACCGAATAAATTGCTAAAAAGAATAAAACATGTTGGTGCTGTCCCATAGCAGGTTAAAGAAATGTTAACTCAGAGAAGAAAAGGATCACTTGTGCTTCCATGGAAAGGAACAAGCACAAGAAGAAGGAGCCGTGATGTGGGAGTCACAGGTCAGTTAACAGGTGGAAATGGTCCATAGAAAGGCCCTGTTTGTTCTAATTATGCATGTATCTTCCTCTTCTAAAGTTTTTTTTTTAGTGAAAACTTATTGCTTGCTCAATGGAAACCTTAATTTCCCTCGAGATTAAGTTGATGATACATAGGAAGAACGCAGTCGTGTCAATACTGCACATCTCTCCTCATGAAACTCGTGCCCAAATCCATCACAGCACGAGACTGACTTCTGCTGTATTTCACAACAGGCTGCATTTGCAAGTCACAATTCCGTGGCCTCATTCTTAGAAGAATGGCATATCTCCTCAACAGATATTATCTGCTAGATATGTTGTTCTTTGTATCTTGATTTAGGAGGTGTGGGAAAAAGGCAGGGTCAGGTTAAGTGACAATAAGAAAACAATTCTGAGTAGATTGGGAAATGAAATACCAAATTCTTGTCTTCTAGTCCACTTTCTGAAGGCTAATGGTCTGTAGAGAAAAATTAAAGAAACACAATTTAAATAGGTATTTTAGTAGGAAATATCCTTGGGCTGAGAACTGGGACTCTAGCTCTGGTTACAGCTTTAATTTAAAGGTGTGACAGTGGGCAAGTTATCCATCTTCCCTCATCTGAGATACCCCCTGTGTAACACAAGGGGGGTCACTTCTGAACACCGACACGTTGGAAAGGGTTCTTTGCCTTCCATTCCCTCTGAAACTCTGAACTTCATCCCTGGATTGCATTTAATCTCTTCATTAATCGCTTTTTCTTTGCAATTCTTTTCCCTCTTTACTCCATCCTGATTAAATTTCATCCCGAAAGAGTTGCCACATTCCCTTCTTCCAGTACTATTTTCATTGTATAATTTCCCAACTAAACAAAACATTTAGTAACTTCTCAATCCCAAGTGTTGAAACACAAAGGGTATTATCACCCTTACATTTCGAAAGGTCTTGCGCAATGTTCTTAGATTTCATCAGTCCTGCATATGAATGCCCAGGGTTAGCTTTTCCTTTCACTCCTTTCCTCTTGAATATACAGTGCATTTATGGACACTCTCGATAAGGCACCTGCAGTCTTAACCTCCTATCAAGTTTTCCCTTTTTTATTTGCGTATTCAAATCTCTTTCCTTCAGTTCCCCGCTGACAGCTCTCCAGGGAAGTATCAGCTTCCAGGCACGCTGATGCCTTCTTGAGCTCCTAGAGCAGTTTCCAATATATTTCATTCAAAGGTCTAATCATGCTTTACCTTGTGGCATATGATTATGTTATTGTCATTCAGATTCCTTTCCATTGAGTAAAAGATCTGCTTTTCAAAACCTTTGGGAAATAATTTATCTCATAAGCTAAGCTTTCTAAGCTAACTAGAGATATATTCCTTTTTGCTGTAAAAATTTATTTTAATCATTGCGGATGGAAATACTTCTGAAATAGACAATATAGTTCTGTGACTTTGGGAATAAAAAATGCCGATTTATTAATTTTCTTGGTGGCTTAGCATAATCACTATTGATATGTTTTTCTAGCATTATATTACAGGGCTGCTCTAAGATTACTAATAGGTTCTTAAAAGTACAATACTCACTGATAAATATTTGTTTTGTAATTTTATTTGTTGTTTCCATTATAGATATCTGTTTGTAGTTTTCCCCTTTATAGCAGCTCTCTCATGGCCACTAATTTGTCTGGAACTTGGTAATAACCATATATATTAAATGTTGGCCTATAATATATAGAAGTAGGCTCAGATTGAATATAGTATACAAAGTCCTTGAGAGTTAATGCTTAATAGTTAGAACATATTATTTTCTTTTCTGCGAAAGATCTCTATAGACAATTACCTCCTGATATTTTGCTGAATCCAAGATAGATATGGTTGCGGGACAGCCAAATTTCAAATAGGTTCAAATTATTTTTTTATAACCTGTTTTGACTTTTGTCTTATCTTTCCAAATCTACCATTATTAGAAATGTACAGTTCTATGATTTTTAACTCTTTGAAGAATTTAGTTCAATTTTGTACTTTTAAGTGATATGCAAATATGAATTGAATTAAGTAATCTCAGACTTGCATAATGATACTTAATTGCCTAATTATTGACTCTTTAACAGATTGCCTATGCAAAATATTTCTTAGAAAGATTGCAGTCGGAGGAGAGAGGAGAATATGGGAGATAAATCTGTTTCTCAGTGACTTTCTCCATGTTTTCTTTTGTATTGAATTCTTTTTCTTTTCTTTTCTTTCTTTTTTTTTTACTAATAAGGACCTATGATATGGATGAAATGCATAATTTTTTATCTCTAGTACTTTCTAGTTCTTTATCTAATGTAAGGTGTTTCTCCAACTGCAAAATTGCCCTGGTGAGTTGTTAGGTTTTATTTGAGTGCATTTAAGGAAGTCTGCAATGTGTATACAGTTTTTCCTCCCATTAGACACCTCAGGCCTCTACATTAGATTTTCCTGTATTTCCTGAGATGATCTCACACATTCCAACCTTCATAGCATCTTAGTATTATGAAGATATTTGAAATGTTACATGGAAGAGAAACATTTTAACATGTAAACTGCCAGCCAACCTCTTAGGCTCCTTATCAGTTAAGAAGAACCTTGTCTTTACCACCTGGTTTCCTGGGTCTGGGCTGTGTACGGAGAGAAACGAGACATGTCCCCAACCTTCGCATTGAATCACATTGGAAGAGAGTGAAACTTACCGATGGTGATGAAGTGAATAGACACTGAAGGTGATATGGGTGGGAAGTGAAGTCAGGAGTCAGTGCAAGTAAGGTTTGCGGGGCATTTAGAGAACAGGAGGAAAGGCACCATACACAAGACAAAGACATGAAAGAAAGAAAAATGAGTATTTTCTGTTTTAAGAACAAATCCACATTTACTTTCCAATTATATTTGCTAGAAATTTGAAGTCTGAATTTTTGTTTAAATGGTGAGAAAGGTGTTATACACGTGAATGTAACTATCTTTGCAGAGAAAAGACGACTCCTACAGCTACTGTTACTAAACCTGTGTCCACCCCCACCCCACCCCAGGTAAAATATGTACCTTGTATTGCTGAAGTTGGCAAGTTTTTTTCTATGAGTTATGGAATGTAACCCTAGAAAAGAATGGATTGCAATGATATTTAAGGAAACATATAATTGAAAGAATTAATTTGATATGTAAAAGATGTTGCATATGAAAATGGACAGCAATATTCTTTATTAACAAAAATTGGAGGCAATTTATGTCTATGATATGAAATTGCTTATTTGATAGATAAGGTTAATACACTATAACCAATGTAATCAGTAATAATAATAATAGAGGCCTATATTTATTAATAACTCTGCCTCAATACAAGTAGTGTGATGTATTAAAGTCAACTCAGTTTTGTAAAAATTTATCTATTTTATATGTTTTCACAAGAAAAAGTTTCCCATAAGGATATTAGTTATTTTATTCTTTAATTTTTTGCTGAAATTAACTTTAGCTGGTAAAATTATAATTTTAGTATTTATAATTTCTTTCTTACATGCTTATTAGTATTTTTGCAAAGGTCATTAAATATTAATGTAAAAAAAAGATATGAAATTCTTACAACAAGCATTTTAGGCATTATGGTCATTAACAAATTCATAAATTACCCACCAATAAAACCAGCTCCTTAAATGCAGCCATTACCTCAGAACTGAAGTTCTCAGATTCCAGAACTCCCCACACTGACTGGAACTTGGAAAAGGTACCTCAAAAATTCCTTTAAATAGCACAGTTTTATTGATTGTGGTTTGGAGAACTGAAAATTCATGCAATCTTCTGTTCTAGAGTTTATGCACAAACAACTTGAAGCAAACTGAGTCTTCAAATATCAGCATTTTTAACAGCAGACAACACCTGGATGTAGCTGTGCAATAATCCAGGAGGTCAGTGTCCGAGTCATGGGATCGTGAGCACCTTGCCGCCCCTCTCTGGGCCAGCCCTGCATCATCCATAAGGTAATATTTTCAAGTGGCTTGCTGAGGGTTAACTGGGGAAAATGTATCATGTTCTTGGCACACATTAGGGGCTTGAAAGGGGTATGGATAACTCGATTTTTAACCACAAATGCTCACTGAATGCAAGCTGTGGCCAAGGAAGAGGCTACTAACTCGATGAAGAATTCTCGCTGGGGTCTTTAAGCCATAATCCCTACCTCTTCTTAACATATTGACAGATTTGGGAAAGGGTGACCCTTTGTCAGTGTTCCAAACAGGGAGAAGGTGGTTGAGTTGTTGAAGTGAAACCCTTAAAGGTCCCCCATCAGGCGGCCACATGGCTTCCTCCTCCTGTGTTGAGGGTTCTATTCACATGCCACCTTTTCAGAGAGACTTCATTTCCCATCTCTGCCTCATTTCCTCTTTTTCAGCACTTAGCATTTGTTGACGGAGTATGTATTTTATTTTTGTTATCCTTCTAGAATGTTCAGTGCCATGACCATAGGTTCTTGTGTGTTTTGTTCACCTACATGTTACCAGAGTCTGGGCACTTAGAAGTTGATCACTATTTCTTGAAAAAGAAGGCATAAATGAAGATAGAATAATGAAAGTCGATTCTTAAAAATGAAATTCAAGGTATTTCTTTTTGTTTAAATTTTTATTAAGGTATGATTGATATATACTCTTATGAAGGTTTCCCATGAAAAAAAATGTGCTTACTACATTTACTCATATTATCAAGTCCCCACCCACACCCCAATGCAGTCACTGTCCATCAGTGCAGCAAGTTGCCACAGATCCACTATGTCCCTTCTGTTTGCTACACTGTTCCCCCCGTGATCCCCAACACCATGTGTACTAAACATAATACCCCTCAGCCCCCTTCTCCCTCCCTCCCCACCTGCTCTCCCACACCCCTCCCCTTTGGTAACCACTAGTTCACTCTTGGAGTCTCTGAGTCTGCTGCCATTTTGTTCCTTCAGTTTTGCCTCATTGTTATACTCCACAAATGAGGAAAATCATTTGGCATTTGTCTTTCTCCGCCTGGCTTATTTCACTGAGCATAATGTCCTCTAGCTCCATCCAGGTTGTTGCAAATGGTAGGATTTGTTTCTTTCTTATGGCTGAATAGTATTCTATTGTGTGTATGTACCACATCTTCTTTATCCATTCATCTACTTGTGGACACTTAGGTTGCTTCCATATCTTGGCTATTGTAAAAGTGCTGCAATGAACAAAGGGGTGCATATGTCTTTTTGAATCTGAAAAGTTGTATTCTTTGGGTATATTCTAAGGAGTGGGATTCCCGGGTCAAGTGGTATTTGTATTTTTAGTTTTTTGAGGAACCTCCATACTGCTTTCCACAATGGTTGAACTAGCTTACATTCCCACCAGCAGTGTAAGAAGGTTCCCCTTTCTCTGCATCCTCACCAACATTTGTTGTTCTTAGTCTTTTCAATTCTGGCCATCCTTACTGGTGTGAGGTGATATCTCATTGTGGTTATAATTTGCATTTCCCTGATGATTGGTGATGTGGAGCATTTTTTCATGTGTCTGTTGGCCATCTGAATTTCTTCTTTGGAGAACTGTCTCTGCATATCCTCTGCCCATTTTTTAATTGTGTTATTTGCTTTTTGGGTGTTGAGGCATGTAAGTTCTTTATATGTCTTGGATGTTAACCCCCTGTCAGATATGTCATTTACAAATATATTCTCCCATACTGTAGGATGCCTTTTTGTTTTGTTGATGATGTCCTTCGCCGTGCAAAAACTTTTTAGTTTGATGTAGTCCCATGAGTTCATTTTTGCTTTTGTTTCCCTTTCTCGAGGAGATGCGTTCTGGAAGAAGTTGCTCATGCTTATATTCAGGAGATGTTTGCCTATGTTGTCTTCTCAGAGTTATATGGTTTCATGACTTACATTCAAGTCTTTAATCCATTTCGAGTTTACTTTTGTGCATGGGGTTAAACAATAATCCAGTTTCATTCTCTTGCATGTAGCTGTCCAGTTTTGCCACCACCAGCTGTTGAAGAGGCTGTCATTTCCCCATTGTATGTCCATGGCTCCTTTATCATATATTAATTGACCATATATGGTTGGGTTTATATCAGGGCTTTCTAGTCTGTTCCATTGGTCTATGGGTCTGTTCTTGTGCCAGTACCAAATTGTCTTGATTACTGTGGCTTTGTAGTAGAGCTTGAAGTTGGGGAGTATAATTCCCCCTGTTTTATTCTTCCTTCTCAGGATTGCTTTGGCTATTCAAGGTCTTTTGTGGTTCCATATGAATTTGAGGATGATTTTCTGTAGTTCGTTGAAGAATGCTGTTGGTATTTTGATAGCAATTGCATTGAATCTATAGATTGCTTTAGGCAGGATGGCCATTTTGACAATATTAATTCTTCCTATCCATGAGCACGGGATGTGTTTCCATATATTGGTATCTTCATTAATTTCTCTCATGAGTGTCTTGTAGTTTTCAGAGTATAGGTCTTTCACTTCCTTGGTTAGATTTATTCCTAGGTATTTTATTCTTTTTGATGCAATTATAAATGGAATTGTTTTCCTGATTTCTCTCTCTGCTAGTTCATTGTTAGTGTATAGGAATGCCACAGATTTCTGTGTATTAATTTTGTATCCTATAACTTTGCTGAATTCAGATATTAGATCTAGTAGTTTTGGAGTGGAGTCTTTAAATTCAAGGCATTTCATGGGCCTGATATGCATGGCCTTTGATACATTAGAAAAATCATTTTGTTACTAATAAAAAAAATTGTTCCCTCTCCTTTAACCTTTTCGTTAGCTAACTGTGTGACTTCATCACTTATAACCTCTCCTAGTGAGAGATTTTGTATCTACAAAGGATTATTGTAATTCCACCTGCTCTGTCTGCTTGTCTCATGGGGTGTTGTGATGAACAAATAAAGTAATACATGTGGGTGTCCTCTGGAAAAAGATACCAATATATAATTTAAGGTATTTAGCAAGAGGGCTTGTAAATTTGAAACATCAAAATACTGAAAAGCTGACTATATGGTGACAGACTACGACATTTAAGAACATGAACAGTACTTGTACTATCAAACATTTTATGTGAAAAACCAGCAGTGTCATTCATAAAGATGTTTTTTTTTTAATACAGAAACATTGGGTAATCTCACTGAACAAAATAGAAAACCTGACAAGATATAAATACATTGTTCTGGATGGTATTTAATCCCACTGTTGACAGCAAAGGATACACTGGCTGGAAAGCTGATGGCCTCTGATAGAAAGTATACATTGCAATTAGGTAAAATAGAGAACAGATTTATGCCAAAGAAGCTCATTCATCTGACAAGACCAAAAAGAAAGAAAGAAAACTTGAACAAATAGATAAGGACTGTGGTTTGGAATTACCCAGCTAAGACATAGTGACAGTCAAAATGGGAAGGGCATTGTGAAAAGGCCGGTTTCAGTTGAACGATGATGGAAGGTTTGGAATTACCCAGCTAAGACATAGTGACAGTCAAAATGGGAAGGGCATTGTGAAAAGGCCGGTTTCAGTTGAACGATGATGGATGTTGCAGAGATTTAGCATTAATAGGAGCAAATGCAATATTCAGAGTGATTTTTGAAGAGAATGGTATCAGTCTGAAAAGGGAATGCAAGTCATTTAAAATAAATCCAAATACCCAGAACACAAAGTACCTTTGTAATTGACGGCTTCTTAGTGACACTGAATACTTTTGGGCTTAAAATACAGGTTTCTAAGAAGTCAATTTCAAGGAGATTAATTAATATTTAATATAGTGCATTGAAAGTGCAAATGGCCTGGTTCCTTCTGCAGTCCTTTGGCATCAGAGGGCTGTGTCACCATCAGGCAGTGTCCTCTTCTGTAAAATGGAAGAACTGACCCACGTGGCCTGTATGACCTTGTAAGCACCCACAGGTTACTCCGTGAAGGAAGTAAGAGCCCACTACACTGGAAGGCATGACCAGGACTCACTTATCAATCCTGGGGCTCTGGCCCAGGCTAGGGGGCCCAGGGGAGTGGACCTTGCATGTTCTCAGCCTGGGGACGAGTGTGCCCTGGAAAGAGGGCCTTGAGGTGAGGAGGGATGTTTGTGACCAAGTGAACTCAAAATGATTTTCAGATATCTCTGGAAATTTCAGGCAATGAGGGGGAATTTAGTTATTTCCTCACCATGAAAGCTTGGTTGCTTTGGAGTCTCTGTGTAGGTGTCCTTATATCAGAAACATGAAAGTGGACATTGTACTTTTCCATCTCATAAGCAGAGGACAGGGGAGAGCGAGAACTTTCTACTAGTTTTCCTTGGTTGGTTCATCTTATCTATGCTAACTATGTTCCCGGGAAAGTATCAGCAAAACCCAATATGCAGAAGGAAAATTGGTAACAGCCCTTTCCTGCCAGTCCTGGCACGGCAGCCAGTGTGGCCCTGGAATGTGGTTTGGTAGTCGCCTTGTTCATTTAATGTCAACCAAGTTGGTATTTGTGGTGCAACCTGATGTTGATGAGACAAGCAAACAAATAAATGAAAAATGCTGAAAGCATACTAGAACAAGGCACACCTAATTCTGTATGATTCAAATCTACTTTGGGTATTTGAAATCTGTACCACAGCCTTGGATGGATGCAGCAATAAGAAGGTTACACCAAAATTATGAATTTAACAACAGAGATGGAGATTCTTTCTATGGAACCATTTCTTGGCCTCAGCCATGAGTTTTTCTCACTGAAGACTTTCATGTAGAAAATAGGAGTTGCTTTTCAAGGCATTTCAACCTCATTCTGCTGAAATCTTCTCCCTGCTTTTCACTATTTCATCAAGAGAGAGGAGAGAGAGAAAGGGAGAAAGAAGAAGGGAAAAGCCACACACACAGAAACACTGAGAGAGATATCTTCCATGAGAAACTCACCTGAAAGAAAATATTTGTCATAGAAACAATGGCATACTTTGTATGCATTGTGAAGAAATATCTCAGTGTGACACTAGGCCAGAGCATGCCAGTCTGATGGAGGGGATGAGAGACCAGCAGCAAACTCTTTCATAATATCTTATGCCTGGAGTTATTGTTACTCTAAAAATTGGTTTACATTACCAAATTGCTATTTAAGCATCTCCCAGAAACAAATGTATCTTATATGTGCTGCAGGTATATATAGGCTATGTCTATCTATCTATATATGTGTAATTATACCTATAATTGTCCAGCTACATTATAAAAGAAAAGGTGGGAGAAAGGATGAGTTCCATTCATGTAAACAAAATCTCAAGCCAAATGAAACCAATTACAAATAATTCACACTGTGTTTCCTGAATATTTGCTAAGAAATGTGGTTTCCACCAAAATTATAATTGTCTTAAGATGCTTGGTTCTTGGGTCGTAGTGTCAGAGAACTTGGCTCAAGATCCAAGTTTATATTTGAATGTCTGAATTACCTCCTGAAAATATCTCAACTCCTTAAACATCTATTAGTATAGTTGTAGCAATAACTGTAAGAGCAGTATTTATCTCATTAGGTTATTGCAAGATTTAAAGAGAAAAATGAATTTTAAACACTGAAAGATAAGGGTTAGTTTGATTGAGGATGAACTCCTACAGGCTGACTTCCCAGCACACAGCTGGCCTCCTACGGATCTCGGCAGAAAGCTGCTGCGATCCAGTGCTTAAGGCACTAGTCTCTTAGTCCATTGCCTGCCCGGACTTTCCGTGGGCTTCTGCCAAGGACACTGCCCTAGCCGATCTGATCTAGAGTGTGTGCCGTTTGCCTTAATTGTGCAGCATCTCAGTCTGTTCTGGCCGCTGTAGCAAAACGCCATAGACCAGGTGGCTTCTAAACAGCATAAATGTATTCCTTGTACTTTTGGAGGCTGGACGTCCAAGATAAAAGGTGCTGGTATATTTGGTGTCTGGTGAGAGCCTGCTTGCTGGTTATCTGTTATACAAGCATCTTTATAACAAATGTTTACATCTAAATCATACTGTGTGTTTTATGTGTATGTATCTATATTATATAATATATAGTCTAATAAAAAATAGTTTGACTATAATTTTCTTAGCTTATATATAATTTTATAAATTAATTGACTGCTAAAATATATATATATTTTTTTACATAAATATGTATATAGTTTTACATATATATATATAGTTTACATAAATTGATATGCATTCGTATAAAGTACCATTCCAGGTATTCTTTGTTTCCTCTATTAAACCCCATATTAAAGAATCTTCTGGATATTCTGCTGTGAATAAAGTGGACAGCAACTGACAACTGGCACACATTTCCATTCCTGGAGTGGGAAGATGACTTCATGAACAACATGCTTTTTCTTCATTTTACACTTTACCATGTATGTTGCATTATTAAACAAACTCCAAGGACCACCGTTGTACCCAGTTGAACAGCAGAATCAAAAGCATCAGCTCAATCAGTAGCCACTGAAGTCAAACCAAACCAATTATGTGGGTGTTTCTGTTTTTGTTTTTTCATTGATAGAGGGTGTCATTCTGACGAAACAGTCTTAAGAGCTACATCATACATTCCTGAGACTAGTCAACTAGAGATGTTTTATTCAGCTTTCACTAGTCTATATAGTATAATGTATAATGTAATGTAAAGATAACTTACCATCAAGCAAAATACCCTATTAACCACTTTTGTTTTTTTCCTTGGATTTGAGAATAAACATTTAAGAATTATTTATCTGTGGGATGCAGCTACTCTGAATACAACTTCATCCTTAAGAGAACTTTTCCCTTCCTATGTCCCATTAAATTAGAAAAAAATATGAAAAATGTTAATTGACTTCAAAGACACTGATAGTATTATCTGTGTTTTAAAGGACAGTCTGTTTTGACAAATGAAATTACCCCGTTTATTTCACTCCATTTATATTCTTTCCAGTCAATAAACAGGATCATTCTGCAGAACTTACATTCCAGATAAAACCCAAATTCCTTGAGGACAATTTAAGATACACAGTAGGCTGACACTCAGCATTCTGCATTAATTCTCTGAACAGCAGACCACCTCTACGCAGCAAGAGGACAGTCAGCCAGAATGCAATAAAGATGATGGGCTATGCCTGATGAAAACACAATGAAATAGACGCAGAAGGGAAATGTCAATAAAATAGGAATCAAGAAACCATGAAAAGAATCAGCATAATCACATAGTCATGACATAGCCCATCTTATGACTACCGAGGCTTGTGAAAGCCTGATGGGGAGATGGCTTAGGGGACCTTTCATAGGAATCAATGATTGTGAACCAGTTCAACAATTAAACCCGTCTGCTCTGGGTCACTCACACATGTGCCGTCTTCATGGGTCTTACAAATACTGTGGAATAGTGACTTCCACTTAGTTCTTTTAGAGTCTATCTGAAAGCAAGCTGAGGACAGACCCTGAGGCAGCTGTCGGTGGATTGACAGAGCCTGGCGGGAAGGCGGAGGCACACTGAAACAAATCAGATATGAGCAAGAAGCCAGGATATAAAGTTGGAAGCAAACAGTTACAAATTCTAATAAACAAGTAAAAAAAAAAAAAGGTAGTAAACATACTCTTAAATTCAGTGAAAGATTATGAATGACATCTTGCTGACATGTGAGCTCTATGAGAGGCCTATTGCACCAGAACCACTGGCCATCTGTATCTTAAACGTGCAATACTCTAAATCCAGTGTCAGACACGGATCACACAGCTGAACATGTAAGCTGAAGACCTATGGAACAAGCATCCAAAGAGGTGTATTTAACAAATTTCTTGGAATATTGTCAGTGGCTATGTAATAAGTCTTAGGCAATAATTCTACCTCTACACGTGAAATGTTTACTCTGCATATGGAAGACACTGCTCACGAACATTATGATTTTACCACCTGCTCATATTATATTCCTTTGGGCTAGAAATGTTTATTCCAGAAAAAGAAAATTAGCATTTTTGAGAACTCCATTGTTGGCTTTTCTACAAATGCCTCATTGACCTACAGTTGGAGTTAATTAAAATGTCTAACTAGGGTGCTTCCTAAAACAGAATCAGCATGACTTATTCCCAAAAATTCTGGTAATTTCTTAATTGCTTTGGGACTCAAAGATTGAGTTCAAACCCAAGGATGTTGTACTAGTACTAAATTTGGCCATGGGTCATAGGAAGTAGTTTAAATAAACGTGCTGAAACTTATTTCCTAATTATGTCAGCTGAATTTGACCCTAGATAGTTTATGAAATTGAGTCCCCTGATGGACTGTAGTAGATTCAGTTCCCATAAGGAAACACTTTTGATCATTCTAGGTGTCAACAAAACTGGAAATCTGGCCAGATGTGATTAGTTAGCTCAATTCTGATGTCAGTACATTGAAGCCAT